TCACGCAGGGGGGGTACATCATCTGCCTGGTGTGCTCCAGCAGCCAGGAGCCGAAGGTCAAGAGCAACCCCCAGGTGCCCCCACCGATGGGTCCCAGCGAGCGGGAGCCGGGGACCGCACAGCCCAAGCCCTGCCAGTCCCAAAAGGCATGGCAAAGGGCCGGAGACCACGTCAGTCCCGGGCAGGAGGGAAGCAGTCAGCTCATCTGAGCTAGCGTGGTACCGGAATAATTTTTGGATGGCCGAGGAAGCAGGAAGAAGGACGGAGCAAGTGGCAGGAGTTCAAACGGGAACCGAAGAGACGCTACGTGCATCTCTCTGACAGCTAGCTGCGTTTTTATCACGAGAAAATAACCAGGAATTTGGCTGCTAATTGGGGCCGTATCCTACAAACCCTACTTTTCCTGACAAACAAATGACTCCACAAATAGTCCCTCTGTTTTCAATAGGGTTATTTGCGGTAGGAGGGACCACCTAACGCGAGAGGATCGGGCCCTCTGCTCCCTCGCTCTGCAGCTCGCTTAAACCTTCCACAGCCAAATCCGAACACAAAAATCCTCACCAACTGCAAAGCCTTTTCCTCGCTGCTGCTGGAAAAGCCCTGGACGAGAAGCTCTGTGGAAAGGTCTCGTGTGCTATTAATACGATGCTCTCCCCGACTTCCGCCTCCGAAACGGGGATTTGCGATTTGTTTCTCAGGCTGTTTCTTTCCACTCGAGCCTCAGCACAGTAAACTAACTGAAAACTTCTGCATCAAGGAGAAGGTCTCTTTTAAAGTTTTGCTTGGCTTTGCTTTCAAAGAGTTGTCTGTATATTTTAGAATATGTAGAATTTGCCTTTGATTTAAACCTCTCTCTTAACAATAGACAAGAGACGATTTCTCTACTGAGCAATTTAAACAAAAACAAACATATTTTGGTTACCCGGGCCTTGTTCTCAAAACGCTTTTTTTCTTTTTTTTCCCAGAGAAAAATCAAACCCTACAAATTGTTACGCTTCTGGCCAAAAAAACTTAAATTCACAAATGTAGATAGTCCAATTTTTTTTTTTTCCCCTGAACAATATCGTACACGGAGGAAGAAAAGGCACGTCCCCAGCCCCCAGACATCCATAAAACACAAAACCCCCTCATCTAGACAATTAAAAACACACTCTTCCCCTCCAAAATAACTTCTCCCTTCAACGGACATTTTCAGCCTCGGTCCCTGTCCACATCCAGGGCCATGATGTTGTTTCTTTTTTTTTTCCTCCGCCCCGGCATGAAGTCCTGCGGTAAACAGGCACACCTCGTGCTGCGGGGAGGCGGCTGGAGGCGGCTGCTTGCGTTCGGAGCGGCAGCGGCACGGGAGCCCGCAAGCGCAGCCGCTCCGAAGGGGATGAGGGCACTGAGCTCACGGAGAACTTCTGGATACTGGAGAAATGAGAGGGGAGATACCGGGGAGGCATTTCCATCTTAGGTTAAGGATTTTAGCAGCAGGCGAAATAACGCTGTTGGAGTGAAAACACTGGAAAATAACTCACCCAGCGACGGCCAGTTTTTTCCTTCACAGTGAGAACGTAACATTTCCCCCAAGTAACAGAAGAGCGTTAACGTCAGGCCGTGATAAAATTGTCTAACACGTCAGCATGACTCAAGACCCACCGGTCAGAGGAATTTCGGGAGGCTCAGGGTGCGAAGGAGCCCCGCGGGGAGATGCACGGGCAAACACCGAGCCGAACCCCTGCGCCCGTCTCATGGGGCAGAACGAGAGCAGCTCGGGGACGTCACGACCCTCGGCATCGCAGGAGCAAAGCTGTGGCTGTCGACAAAAGCCGCAGAGCGGGACTCGCCGCTGTGCAATGCAGACGTGCCCCGAGTCACCACGGGCTTCGGGGAGACAGAGGAAATCTTTGCACGCAACCGCTGGGCTGTTTTCACTAGAACTGCTGCTCTTATATCTAAGAGTCAAAAATACTGACCAGTGCAAAGACCTACAGAGGTTTCAATCCATGCATTTAGGCACTCAATGCCTGATTAGACACCAAACTGCCAAAAAAGGACGCGGATTGCTAAACACGGTTGTACGCAGGGCTAGAGACACCGTATCCCTTTTTATATTCAGCATTGCACCACTTTAACAATATATGATTTTCAATCTCATTTAATAAAAGCAATGTAAAGCCCTCCATATATTTTTTTTCATTGATTTCAGACCCAGCCTGAGTTTCTTACTAAGTTAAGGCAAACTACTGTAAGCTAAGTTTCAATCCATTATAAGCTTGTCCACACAGCATCTCCATTCATCAGCTGAGCTGAAGCTTACACCAGCCCAACTTTGAACACCTCTAAATAAATGCTTCTTCTCCATAGTGTAGAGTCTGAATATGGTTTTTATCCTCCCAGGAAACTGGTGATGAGAAAGAGAAACAGACTTTGGTCTGTAACAGCTCACATCATAAACATGCTTTAGGCTGTTTGCTGTACAGAACTTGGGCTATACCACTAGCAGCTGAAATCACTATTGATGGTTGAAACATAAAATCCAAGTTACCACGTCTCAGATAAACCACAGTAACAGTCACTTGAATGGCCACAGCTCATGGTAAATGTGAGATACTACAATTCTGTAACAGAGGATTAAGTTAAGACTCACCGCCTTGCACTTGCCATAAGCTGTAGAAATGCACACTCCTACCAAAGTCTAACTAAGCCTGTAGTTAAATCAGGATAATCTGACTGGTCTCTGAATTTGCTTTATTTCAAAAGACAGCTTGGACAACTTCTAACCGGGCTGGCAAAAAATAAATGTATCATGGAGATACTGCACAGGATAATAGCATATTGGCAAAAAAAGCATATATTATTTATAAGTTTAGAAAGCCATTAAAGCTGTTAAAAGGGGAAATGTGATGCATTGCTTTCTGGCTCTTGCTACTGATTTGTTTTGTGACTTTGGACATATAATTTGATTTTCCTGGCTAAATTTTGCTTGCTATAAGATGGATATTTTAATACTTTGTATTAGCCGAGTGACAAAGGTCAATAGCACAGTTTGCAAAATACTATGAAATCCTTTGTTGGAAGATGTGTAAAGTTAACAAAGATTAAAAGCAAAACCCATTAGACATTTTTTATAAGCTCTTCAACAGGTGAAGACACAGAAAATGTGGAAGTCAGACAGAGTAAAGAGAACTTGGCTTAAAATAAAGTTTCATACGCAATCCCGATAACCGAAATAAAAAAGAGGCATACAAAGTCAGTCTGAATTATCGCCTTCAGTTGTCTTCATCTGCTTGAGAAAGCAACAGCTAGAATTGCTTTAAACTAAACGCCCCCCCGGCGCATCTGCAGAGCAGACCGGTGAGAGCAGAAGCTGGCCCGGCTGAGGACCAGGCGCCGTGCTCCAGCTCCACTGCGGCTGGAACGGTTTCCTCCACGGGCAAGCAGCCTGTCCTCAAAACAGCTCCAAACCAGCCTGGCCCACCTACGTGGGCCAGGCCAAACTAGGAACTGGTTGGGTTTGGACTACCCTTAAACCCAGCTTCCTATCTAATTTTGGAATCTAATACGATGGCTCCTAATTAGGCTCCGGTAGTTCTTAGATCCTCCCCTGCGCTCCTTTTCACCCATTAAAAAAAAAAAACCAACATGGGTTGGTTGGCTTTTAGCAGGAATCAAAATGAAAACAAAAACAAACAAAAAATCCCTTTAGAGGGAGATATTTGAGAGAGGAAGAGGGAAGAAAGGGGAAAGAGAGGTGCCTTTTTCCCATTGCCAGAATTCCTCTGTGGCTCCTCCGACCATGCCAGCATCCGCATCACAGTTCCCGGGGACTTCCTCCGAGAAGCTTCTGCGAGTCGCCTCTCCAATGAGCCATTTCATCTCAGGCTTATGTTGCCGAGATTTTGGGTCAGCAGCCCTCCTGGTGTTTTTGAGGCACTTGCTTCCCTTCCTATTTGGTAAACCAGTCACCTTCGCAGAAGGTCTAATTTTCAGTCCTCGGTCCCTAGTCCGGATCCCAGCCTTTGCAATCTGCGCCCTAGAGGCTACTGAAATGTTTATGCTCCTTCTCACAGAGGTTTCCACCCTATACCTTCCCTCTGTCAATGCTGACAAACCCTACACAGCTCTAGGTCTATTCACCATGCTGCAGTGATGACTCCCACTTTATGGCCAGCAGCCTCATTCAAAAGCCCGGAGATATTTTGAAAGTATTCATAAAGCCCCCATCAGTTCTCAAGCATTTATTCATGTATTCTTTTATAATGTTAGCATTGACTTCCTTTGTTTTTAAGTTTATTTTCTAAAAATCTTTTAACGGCACCAAAATCTATTTCAACCTTAATGAAGTTTTTTGGCTGGGATTTTTCCTTCTTTGGGACATGGTTTTATTTTTGTTTTCAATGGCAGCAATGCACATAACTAGTTGGCTACACTTAACAGGAATGACCTGCAGATGTTCGATCCTATTTCTGCACAGAGGGGCACAGATCATATGGTCTCATGAGGTCCCTGTCAGTCCTATATGACTACGACACTACAGACCTATAGGAAACAGAAGAATTGATCTAGCGGCTCCTCTGGGGTTATTCCCACCTACCTAAGTAGATTCACAGAGATCTATCAACAGCTATTAAATACAATGATCCAGATATAAACCTCCAGCTTTGGAAACCCCTACAGCTTGGGAATATATATATTCTGGTTTTGCACTCCAGGGGAACTGAGCGACCACTTTTGGCCGTGCTGAGAAGGCAATGGGTCCTGGATGGACCCTTGGTCTAACCTGGTATGGCTGATTTTCTGCCCCACTCGGTTTTTTCAGTGATGATGCTGACTAACACTGCTTGCCTCTTTTTACAAGCTGTAATGAGCAGCTTTGTGCTTTCTTTCCTGCTGCCCCTGAAGCCCGGGAGGAGGTGAAGAGCCACAGAGCTATCTCAGTACCCTCCTTCAAACATCATCCGTGCACTCCCTTCTGACCCATGCCCACTACCACCCGGCTCTAGCGAGGCTGCAGCCACTGCTATCACCTCGCTGGCTCTCTTTGTGTTTCCTCAATTCCCTCTTGTATTCTGTTGTACATCTTGTAACCAGTTGTACTGTCTTTTAAGAGTGCAAATTCATAGAGGACAGGGCTGACCGCTCTTTTTTTTCCTCCTCTTCTTCAATTGTATAGCCCTCAGCACAATGGGAACGGACTTCCAGACGCTAGCGCAATACAAACAATATTAGCAGCTGCTGCCTATCGCGTGGTCAGCGGTGATTCCAGCAAAGGCCCATTAACTATTCAAAAATACAACCATTACTTTGATCACTGAACCGCATCGCCTGCAGTAGCCAAACCTGGGTGCTCCAGCTAAAGTCAAAACCTCACACGAAGCCTTGTCAAGGGGACTGGCAAGGGGACTGATCTCCGGTTCGTGGAAATCTCCTTTCAATCCCACGTTCAGCTTTCAACGCAACACAGAACATAATTTCAGCACAGAATTAAATACGGCAGGCTGCATTTTTACAGACACATATCATCTAAAAATGATGTGCTTTATACATTTGGTCCCGTACCTGTGCTGCGATCCTGTTTTCCAAGCAAGCCCATTGTGCAGCCTAATTATATAAACTAAAACAAGGTGGACATACCTTTAGCTGCCGGCTTCATAATATCCTGCCAGTTCTAGACAGTGCTTGTTTAACAGAAACGGCATAAAAAAGCCCTGATGCCTACGGATCAGAGAGCGATAGCCCAGTTAACCGTTAAAAATAACGAGTGGAAACCACACATGTGGCATCACTACAGCTTGTGTAGGGACTTTTCGTCTCAGCTAAATGAAAGAGGCTTTGTGGGTACTGCTCCTAATCCAAGCATACGACCTTCCACTTCTCACCGCCAGAGAAATGTGACATTAAGAGGCAGAAAGATCAACGTGAGATGCCCTACCCCTCCATTTTGCTTTCAGAATTGATCCTTGTTTTAAATCCCCCGGCCTGTTTTTCTCTGCTGGTGCTCCCCTTCTCTCAGCACGATTGCTCCTCTTTCTCACAAGAGCCCAAGGAGGCTTTCTCCAGCTGCCTGCACTCAGCAATTCTATATTACAAAATAACATATTACGGCAAACATTCATGGCTACCACAGGATAAAAGGTCAAGTGGGTGGTTAGAGAGACCTTTGGGAAAAACAACCGTGAAGTTTGGAGGTGACATGGCCCAGACAGGGCTGAAGACACAGCACACTCACTCCTCTTCTCCTCCACAAGCACCTTTAAAACGCCACAAAACGCCCTGCATTAGTGTCTGATACCTCTTTTGCCAGAACTAAACTTCTTCCTGCAATGACAGCATTGCCGGGTCCAAGTAATCCCAAGGGTTTAATGCAGTTTCAACTCTCGATTCACAAATTTGCCAGTGGAATAATTATGAACGTGGAGAGCAGAGAGGCTGCTCTGGCTGGGTGTCTGCTACCCGGCGGGGCCACAGCCTGAGCTCTGAGCTGCCGGCTTCTCTTTGCTTTTGACAGGGCAAATGTTAACTAAACCTGGAGGAAAAAGCCCCCGTGACTGTAGCTGCGTTTCTTGAAACGAAAGGATAAACAGTGTATAAAAGCTAGGGGAGAATGTGTATCCTGTCGTCCTGTTCCTGTATCTCTATCTAGGGTAGTGTGTGAGGAATTAAATTCATTTTGTTAGAGAAAATGGGAGGGACTTTACAACTGGGCAAATATAAAAGCAGAAAAATTCCTAAAGGCATAGCAGAATCCCACAAAGTCAGTGAAAAATGCTTTCTCAGTGCGTTTTTTCAGGTGGGTTGGAAAAGTCGAGTCCCACTAGTAATTTAACCAAAAATAACTCCTTTTCAGCGGATACCGTAGGAGTTTGGCTGATTAGGGAAGG